AATATTAGTATCTCTTATCTTATTTTAAAATTTGATATTTAATTTATAAAAATATATATTTATAGCGATAAATTCAAAACGGTACACAAAAAATTTCGGTATTCAATATATATTGTTCCAGTAGCAAAATCGGTACGCATACCAGTACGGTATTGACTACTTTGGTTTAACCAAAACTGCAAGGTAATCAAAAGGAAATAATGGAACGCAGAAATCACTGACCTCACCTTACAACACGTGTTATACTACCAAAGGGATCCGGAAGGTCTTGAGGGAGTCTGAACTTGTCTCCTGCACGGGGCATTCCATGTTTATGCTTTAACCCAAATCAGGCAGAAAAATCATAATTCATACCATTCTTCTGTTAAATTTACCGCATCAGATTTTTGCTAGCTTCCAAAAATTGGTGCCTCATTGCTTCCCACAGTACAACCAAACACACGAAATAGATTGCTGTATCACATGAAAGATCACTATACATGCCCCAAAATTACAAATAAAGAAAACAAAGAAATCAAGCAAGTAGAGAAGACTTGTGTTAGAAAACAAAACTGTAAGATCCTGTTGCCACTGGCAATCATCACCACAAAGGCAACACTCAAATTTGTCAAAAATTGAATAATTTTCATACAAATCACACAACTGGAACAACCAAGAACAGAATAATCAGCACCGATAAAACAAGGCACAAATAAACTAATGTTTGTTTGTTCCTTACAGAGGCTAGGAAGTAGGAACCATACCTTTGGTCTCAAGTACTCATGAACCTGGAAGGTTGCAACAGGACCAGAATCTATGTTGATATCCCACAACTGACACTAAAGTAACAAGGGGGGCAGGTTAGGTACCATGAAGAAGTCTAAAATCCCATCCGAACAAGAATGCAAACGTCAAATTGATGGAGAACTAAGAACATAAATAATGTTAAAGTTAATGCAGCCACTGAAAGTCTTAAAACTGAACGGAAATACGGACCATGGTACAATATTCAGAACATTAGGAGGAAGAAACAATTTGACGAGATTCACCCCGCAGTAATGGCAGTCTTTGGGAGTGTGTTGCTACAGAGTGCTCTATTTGCAGGTAGCATCAAAGACTTAGGATTTTTGGGGGGAGAAAATATATCAGGCATTTCATTGTCCAAGGATTTCACGAAATCAATATCAACATCCATCATGTTTTTGTTCTTAGGTCTCTTAGCAGCAGAAGCTAATCTACTTTCTGTAGCAGGAACATCACCAGAATCCACAAAAATCACAAAAGATAAATAGTCAAACTAATTTAGATGCCTATGACAGAGATAAAAATAATAATAATAATAGTAATGAGTAATATCACCTCCCTGCTGTTATTTACATTTGAACTTCCAATATTTCCAATGATCAGGACTGGCCCAAGAATTCCACAACAGGAACCCTTGACACAGCACCGCAGCAACATCTTCAAATTCCTCCTGAAGATTGGCTTCGTATGATGCATGTGAACAATTCTCCTACACGTAAACCAAGAATACTTCGGTGATCATTCATATTTCTTTCACCTCTTAGTAAGTAACTTAAATACCTCATGCAGGCCGTGAAATGTAGGACCATAACTGAATGTCTCATTCACAACACTCGACAGTTGACACTTCATCATGATCAGAGGTCCAGGTTTCATGGTCCTCAACTGAGTTGTTACCCAGGTTGGATTCCTTATCAAATGCATCTACTAGGATATCAAAATTCTCGCTTACATGGAATGTTTGCTCTAATCTTTCATTATCTTTACTGAAATGGAATACAATGTCCCTGAGAGTTGGGGAAATTGCATTCTTTGTTTGCATGTTCATCACCATGTTCTCAGTCTCAACACATTCTGTAAATTGACCAATTTCAACGGCTGTAACAAAAAGAAATGATGGGAAATAGAAACAAACTCCAAACACTTGGGCACAAACTTGGAGAGGTTAGAATGCCCTAATCAGCAATGGCACACCTTCTGCAAATGAGATATCAATCATATCCAAGGAGTTATTTTGAACAGAACACGATTGGCACTTCCCAGGCACTTCAAAAGAATCAAAGAGTACCCTACAACCTTGATATACTCCAAGATTATTTAATGGAAGGCCTTTTACCCCACTTTCATCAAATTGTGCAGATGTTTGTTGATATAAAGGATCTGCTAGAAATGCAACTAGAAAACCATAAAAACAACTCCAAAATGAGATAATCAAATAAGAGAAAGTCCAGATGA